GGCGTTTGCGGGTGTGAGGGTTGGTGGTGGCCGCCAGTTGGCAACCTGCGAGCTCCGGCCTCTCCTGGCGGTCCTGGCCTGGGCATTCCTCGCTTTTCGGTGGCCGGGGTAGGGTTAGGGTGGGCCTGGTCACCAGAAGCCGGGTCCACAGTGGTCAGGCCTCGGACCCCCAGCTGCCCGGCCTCCGTGAGGGCCAACTTTACCTTTTCTTATCTCAGAAAAATCTTACGCAAATTATTTAACCGAATTATCCCCCAACAGATCCAGGTAGATCTTCCCAGTTCCCGTTAAGGACAGAGGGACCTCGACAACTTCTCTGGCCCAGATTGGGTTTGGCCTGCCTGGCCCCCTAGGCTGGAAGGAATTGACCTGTGGTGGCGACTCCTGCCTCCCCAAGACCCCAGGCATCCCCCGAAGGGCGCTCCACCCCTTGAAGGGTTCCCCGGTGGCCCCTCTAAAGTCCTCCGATGACCCTGAAGGGCCCCACGTGTCACCTCGAAAATCCTGCATTGTCCCTAGAAGGGTCCTAGGTAGCCCAGCTTGGAGGGAGGGGGCTTCACACAGGCTGCCCCATCTTAGAGACTAGAGGGGGGCGGCCCAGGTGCTCTCAGACCCTGGACAGAAGATAGGCAGTTCCCTCTCTGCTCTCTGCAATATGGAGGTGTTTAAATTCTTAAGTCGGCCATAGCCCAAGGTAGCCATGACTCCCACCCTGTGTCCTCTTGGGGCCCAAGTGACCCCTGGGGCAGCCAGTTGGGCCCAGGTGGGGGTGGGGTGGCCTCAGCCAAGGCCACTGGGTCTGTACCCAGAGACAGGAACTGCTTGTAATGATGAGATTTGCTCTTGTTTTCAGATTTCTCTAGGGAGGGATAAAATGAGTAAAAGGAAGACGCTTCGGACCTCAGGTATTTGGACATTCAAGTTGACACCTCTTTATTTCTGCTTCTGCTTGCAGGAGGAAGGTGGGCTTATTGCAGAAATGCTAACATGATCACACCAAGCTCCTTAAAATACCAACAATGACAATACATGCAATGACTTAATACAAGTGTAAATCATGGAGAAGTGCTTACAGTAAAAAGTGAAAGCTTTGTGGAGCTTCCCCCAGCCCCTAGTGGGATCCCACAGCCTAGGGGAGGCCCCCAGGCTTCAGGGCAGGGGTACAGCCTCTATGCAGGCCCGCTCTCAGAGATGACCCATGAATAGAGCTTGATGTGCTGGTGTGTGGCGAACTGCTACACTCTCGAACCAAAAACCTGGGTTCATCTCTCTGTGTGATGGCAGATGACCTACTGTGTGTCTCACTTTCCTCCTATTTGTAGGGGATAAGAGCACCTACGCTTTACTTTCGAACAGTGATTCTCAACCTGTTGGGGGGAGCAGTTTGACCTCCAGAGGACATTTGCCAATGTCTAGACACATTTTTAGTTTTCACAACTGGTGTGTGGGCGGTGGTGGGGGTGGGGGGGGCAGTGTTGGTACTGGCATTTAGTGGATCTAGGCCAGGGATGCTGCTCAGAATCATAGAATGTGGTGGACAGTCCCCACAGCACAGAATGACCTGGCCCCAAATGTCAATAGTATCCAAATGTCAATAGGGCCAAAGTAGAGAACTGTGCCCTAGAGCTCACATGTGGATTAGTGTTTGTAGAGCACGGAGAATAGATCCATGGTAGGACACAAATACATGCTGCTGTTATCATTGCCCTTTCAGATTAAGAAGAAATTTTTCATTCTGAAACAACTTTAAGCTTACAGAAAAGCTGTAAAAATAGTTCATTTCTGTTTGAATAAAAAAAAAAAAAGAAATCAGGGACAGTGGCTACCTTTGAGGGAGTTGTGCCTGGAAAAGAAACATGAGAGGAACTTCTGTGTTCCTGGAAATGTTTTGTTTCTTGATCTAGATGTAAAATACACTGTTCATTTTATGAATTTGCAGTGAGTTGTACACCTATGCTAACTCTTCTGTTCTATATTATTTGTCATTAAAAAGCTAAAGAAAAAAAAAAGGAAAAAAAAAAGTTCAGAGTTCTGTCTACCCTCCCCCCAGCTTCCCCTACTGTTAACATCCCCCTCAACCATAGGATGATGATCAACCATATAGTGTAGCATAAAAAACAGGAAATGAACCTCAGTACACTACTTTTTCCAAACATTTTCTTTGTATACACAAATACACAGTGTTTTTATTGGAAAATAGAATCATCACACATACTGATCTGCAACCTCTGTGTTTCAACTTCATGGTATTTCAAGACTGTCTTTACTTCTCAATATATGTATAGAATTTCCTCATTCGAAAAGGAAAACACCCAGTGTTACATAGTATAGCTTCATTTTCCTGTCATTGGCTAAGGTAGTTTAAATTTCTTAAAAGTTTAGAAATGACCCCTTCACTTAGTGGTTAATGAACTTTGAGAGTAGCACTCATTTTTTCCCAAGATGTGGGACAGGAAAGATACTATCAACAGATTGAAGGTGTTTTGTGCAGAGATGAGTAACAAGCTGTTTGGAGGCACAGGAATTTCTCTGACCTTTGAGGGGGAATCTGGGGCCAGCCAGGCCCACCCACAGCAGGTCATGTGGAGCCTCTCTTCGCAGTGGACTCCCCTGCTCAGTGGACCCTGGGCTGGCCCAGGACACCTCTTTCTGTGTGTCCTGGATGGCGTGGAGAGAAAGGAAGAAGATTCTGGCAGGTGGTGAAAGGAGCCCTTTCCCTTGTGATGTCTTTGGCCTCTGGTGTTGAACACAAGGTTCTGCCTTAGTTCTTAAATTAATCCTGTGGGAACAGATCACAGGAAGGAAATGGGAGCCTCTTCACTTCTGCTGATATTTTTGCTTTTTATTTGGTACAAATAAATGTCCATTGGATGAGCAAAGCAAGCCAGTGTTTGGACATCTTAAAGAAACTAAGTAAATGAAACTGCTGTATTTTTGCATTTTATGGCAGACCACAAGGTGGGAATGTGTTTGTGTAAGAAACATTCATCGCAGCTTTGCTCTGGGTGCAGTGCTGGCGTAGGCACATGAGGTGGGGGGTGGGAGGCAGGGTGAAGATGAGATCAAGATGAGACTCAGTTCCTGCCCTTGACAGCTTCAAGGTCTAGTCAGGGGAAAAAGAAAAATGTTTCTCACTGAGAGAGCTAATCAAGTAACAGTGGGGTGAAGTTCTAAATGGGCACACACGAACCGTAACTGACAGACTTGGGAAAAATTACAGGAAAGCCACTGTGGTCTAGTGAAGCCCCAAAAGCTGAATGGATGCTGAGGAGGACCCTAGCATTCAGTGTTGGAGAGAGGGGGCTTATTCAATGGTTTTACTTCAAGGTATGTAAGGAGCTGAGTTTGGAAAGGGTCTATGTGACTGACCTCCAAGAAAATCAGACGCGGGTCTGGTTTGTCTTTTTGTTCTTGCTGCCTAGGCAGAGATGCAGTACATAGTAGGTGCTCAGTAAGTGCTCAAGTATACTTAGGTGTGGAGGCTCTGGAACTGGACTGCCTGGATTCTGTTCCAGATTCCTCAGCCTCCCTGTACCTCAGCTTTCTCATCCATAAGATGGGCCTAACATCAGGGCCCTGCCTGAAGTTTTGTCATAGCGTACCTGAGTTCTCAGGACAGTGTCTGGCATGGAACTCAGTAGAGTCAACCCTTATTATTTGTTTATTGAATAAATGGTTCAATTGGGGCCAGATTTTGGAGAGGTTTTACAAGCCAGCCACTATTGTCAGTTTCTGTATAAGGGAATTTCCTTCATTCAACAAATAGATGTTAATATGCACCTTTAGGCTCTAAATTGCTTTCAATGCTGGGAAAGGTATCGTAGGGATACAACAGGGACCAAGGGGCAGCAGAGAAGTCACCTCCTTAGCACTCGATGACTCTGGGTCCCAGTTTTCCCAGGATGGATATTCTGCAAGCATAATGGAAAACCAGAGTGGTACATAATTTAGTGTTGTCTGTGTTTCCTGGGAGGTGATCTGGGTTTTCTTGTGCGTTTATTCAGTCATCTGCCAAGTATTTATTGAGCACCAACAGTTTATTAGATGCTCTTCTAGCTACTTGAGACCCAGCAGAGAGTGAGATAGATGAGGCCCCTCCTTGCATGGAACAGGTTGTAGTGGAGGAGACAGAAAATGACCCAGTGCATCGGATGCTTGCAGAAGTTGTGAAGTGAGTAAAACAGAGCATGGGCCCGAGAGGAATTGCTCTGTAGAAAAGGCAAGGATGCCACTGCAGGGACATTTGAGCTGAGACCCGAAGGAGCCAGCACACACCTCTCAGCACTTCCGCAGAGAGACAGTCAGCTGGGCCAGGTTGTCTCGTGTGGTTCCGAGCCAGGCCCAGTCACCTCAGGATTGGACGTCAGTCATGACCAGTCCATAGATTAAAAGCCTTTGGATCCCAAGGCCATGTAAGCTCCTGGGTCCCACCTGGATGAAATTCCATCTCATCTCTCACTCTCCAGGCAAGCGTCAGAGCAGGGATTTCCTGCCCTTTGCACAAGCCTGCTCATGTTGCATCAGTGGCCCAGATGTGTTTGGTGGTCGGCCACAGCAGTGCGTGCTCCCGCCATCCCCCTCCCCTTCATCTCCTTTTGTCTCTAAACCAGGAGGGGAAGGAATCCGTCCTCCAAAACTTCCAAAGAAGCCAAGGTTAGGAGACTCTGATGGGGACCCCCAGAGTTCCAAGTTGGGCCATTGGCGTCACCCTGAAGAGACAGAAAGCAGATCAGGACCCGCTCCCTCTGCAGAGCAGAGCAGGGAGGAACCAGGACAGGCAGCTTCCAGGTAGGTGGCTCAGAACACTCCAGCAAGCCTCTCCGCTGACAGTGGGCACAGCACAGTGGCCTAGTGGACAGGATGCAAAGGGCAGGGGGCCAGTCAACACGACCCATCCAGTGCCATGCATCCCCCACAGGGGCTCGGGGCCCTTGGATTGAGCTTCTCGAAGTTTTGCTCTGGGGACTCTCCTCTTCAGCAAGAAAGGTCGATATTTTAACCACGAGCAAGGAAGACCTTGAATTTTTCAAGGTCACTTAGTTACAGAATGCAACTTGTCCTGCCTGTTGGTCAAATCCATATTTATCCCATATTCCCTCTTAATCAAGAGGGGACTGAAGGAGTGGTGGGTCTGTGAAACAATAACCCATAAGAGAGAATAACGATCTTTATGTTCCAGGCATCATTCTAATTAATACTTTACACACATCAGCTCATTTAATCCTCACGGCACTGTGACATAGGTTTATATCCCCATTTGGCATATGAGGACTCTGAGGCTTCGAGAGATCAAATGACTTTCCCAAGGCCACTGAGCTGGTACAAGGCAGGCTGGGGTCCTGGCTGCGTCTGGTTCCTCTGCTCTTTACCCCAGTGGTTTCCCAGTTCCCTTATTTTTTCAGAAAATATGTAATTAAGCACGGTAGGGGAAAGGAAGAAAGATCGGGAGAACCATTCAGTCTCCACGGGGTTAAACCACATGTAACTATAGCAGAGTAGAAAGGGTTAGCAGGAGTTAGGAGAAGGAAGGTTCCTGCTACCTGAAGTCTTCAGAGAAAGCATCATGGATTGGACTAGCACGTTTTCTGAGTGAAGAATTGAGGCATGCAGTCTGGCTGACAGAACCATTTTCTGGGGGGTGTGTCTGTCTGATCTCAGGTCTTTGCAATCTTAGGGCTAAAGGCTGTGTGTGTGATAGGAAGAGAGGGGCCATGTATCACACCTAAGCTGTTCCCCCAGACAGACACAGTGATGTCACACTGTGCTCCTCACTCCTCGAGAGGCCATATCAGGGCTGATGGGGTCATGGCTGCTGCCCATCCTGCTGTCTGAGACCATAAGAATAATCAGAACCCACAGAAGTGGGTTCCCACTCTTGTTTCTGTTTTTTTAATGTTTTATTAAGAAATACCACACGTGCAGAAATATAACAGAAGAAAGCAACATAAAGCAATCAGTTTAACACATTTATGTTGAGAAATGAAACTTTGCCAGTACCCCAGAAGCCGCCCAAACAACCCATCCCAATTAAAAATTTTGAAACAGGCGGTTGCTATCAGTATCTAGAGTTACTCTGTCTCCACAACCTCCCTTGGCACGATTCAAGCCCATTAGTGTAGCTTCATGCGTTTTCCTGCTCCACTTCCAAAGTTGAAACCATGAAGTTTCAGTTCCAGATTTTGATCTTTTTTTTACAACGTTACATATCCACATTTATTTAGACATAACCATAAGTCTCACCAGTTTTTTTAAAAAGGGTTTATTTCTTTAGAGCAGTTTTAGGTTTACAGTAAAATTGAGAGGAAGGTACAGTTGTTTCCGATACACCTCCTGTCCCCACACATGCACAGCCTCCCCCATTATCACCATGACTCACCAGAACGGTACATTTTTTAACCAAGGATGAACCTACATTGACACAGTCCACGGTTTACTTTAGAGTTCATTCTGTGTGTTGTTCATTCTGTGTGTTGTACATTCTGTGGGTTGGCACAACAGTATAATAACATATGTCCATCTTTACAGTATCACACAGAGTCTTCTTATGGCTGTAAAAATCCTAGCCTATTCATCTCTCCCCCCAACCCCAGGTAACCACTGATCTTTTCACTGTCTCCATAGTTTGCTCTTTCCAGAATATCATATAGTTGGAGTCACACAGTACGTAGCCTTTTCAGATTGGCTTCTTTCACTTGGTAATATGCATTTAAGGTATCTCCATGTGTCTTCATGGCTTGAGAGCTCAATCTTTTTTTTTATAAAGCAGATGGCATGATTTTATTTTTTAAAATTTTTATTGGAGTATAGTTGATTTAGGATGTTGTGTTAGTTTCAGGTGTACAGCAAAGTGAGTCAGTTATACATATACATATATCCACTCTTTTTTTAGATTCTTTTCTCACATAGGCCATTACAGAGTATTGATTAGAGGAGAGCTCACTTCTTTTTAGCACTGAATACCGTCCCATTGTCTGGATTACCACAGTTTATTTATCCACACACCCACTGAAGGCCATCTCAGTTGCTTCCGCATTTTGGCAGATAAGAATGCACCCGTATTTTTAGACACTGTGTTTTTTGTATCTACAACTTCTTTACTGTTTGCAGAGCTGGGGGCTGGAGTGTCAGTCAGTCCAAATGAGAATTCCCGTTCTTACTTCAGGAGCCAGTTCCTGGGATTATAAGAGTTTAAGTGCTGCCAGAGCAGGCAGCTTGGATTCTGGATGTGGGACTCCACAACCTTCTTGGCAGTCACATGTCCCCTTCTCCATCCCACCCTCTCTCAGCAGGTGCTCCAGGGCCTCCCTCTTAGGAGACCCTGGGCGCTACTTTGCATTTGGATTTCATTCACCGCTGTTCATCTTACTATGCAAGTTAACAGCATAGGAGGACTTGAGAACCTCCTCTGTTTTGTCTCTCTCCTCCCAGCTCTCCTTATGAGGAAGCAGGAGCTCCCTCCAGGCTCCTCGGGCAGCCAGAGAAAGAGCCAGTTCGCCTTCCTCCTTCCCAGGTGAGCCTGTTTTGCAGCCTGACGTATGTACAAAAGATGCTGCCTCCCTTCAGCTGGAGATCTTGTCTCTATTCCTCATCAGTAACTGCTGGTGGGAGGGTGTGCTGGGGATGGAAGGCAAGGGCCTTGAGAGTTTGAGATTGCAAGAGAGAGACTTGTTCTGGTGTCTGCTTGCTTGATTTCCGAGACGTCATTCCTCCCTCATCTTTACTGCTGTTTTGTTCTTGTTGTATCTGGTTCACAGAACTCAGTTGGGAGGTTTGTCCCCCAGTTTACAAAACCCAGGAAGACAGTGACAGGACGAGCAGAGAGGAGGGAAGAGGACCCCAGGAGTGGGGCCTTCAGCTTGGTAAGGTCCTACCATCGACCTTCCTCTTGGCCCAACCTTGGCAGCCAAGTTCAGCCTTGATTTCCTTTGGCAATGGCTAGCCCTGCACCTCTCCACACACACACCCCGTTTTTAGCACTACAGATGTCTGTGGATGGCAGGTGCCATGCCAGCAACTCGCAGGCCTGTGAGAGGTACTCAGGACAGCCGTGCCTGCACTGAAGCTGTCGAGGCCAGAGCTCTCTTCCCCAAGTTGCATGAAAGTAGTGAAACTCAGAAAGGCAGCCCACATTCCATCCCTGAACCCCTATGCTTCTCAGAAGCTTTTGTGTGAGTCGGGGTGGGTGGGTCTTACAGCAGGCTCTCTTGTCCTTGCCACCATGAGCTCCAGGGGTCACGATGTCTCTGGAACACACACACCTAAAAAAGTGAGTGGGAGCTTCCCTGGTGGCGCAGTGGTTGAGAGTCCGCCTGCCAATGCAGGGGACACGGGTTCGTGCCCCGG